GTGAGCTGAGATGACATGATGTGAATTGGAGCTATAGAACTAAACTGAATAGAATTAAAAGGTGCTATATATAATCCACTGGTTACTCACTGTGAGGGTCAACTAAAAGGCAGATAAAGAGGAAAAAATGGATTTTAAGATCCTTTCAAGCCTGGACTGTACATCCCTGAGGAGAGAGAATGAAGATCAAAACGCTGCGAAATTGGCTGAGAATAAAGGCAGTCCCTTGAAGAGAAGCGTGCGGATGAGGAATCTGTCATTTGCTGTGATAAAAGGGAATATTTAGCAGTTTTACTCAGTGCAAACACAAGCCTCTACCCACAGCACTGACTGACAGACACGTGATGCACTACAGCACCATAACGTTAAGAATGCTTAGAGGACCAGAGCGGCAGAGGAACAGCTGCTCAGTAAACAGTGAAGCAGTAAAGGTTTGTCTTCCCAGCAGCGGCTTTTAGCCAAATAGAAATTGATTGTGGGTTATTGTCAACGACTGGGAGGAACGATGCACGCCCACACATGATGGAAATGAGCGCACACAATGCACTGATCAGAGTGACTCCAATGTCCAGGTCATCTTCCCCCTACATTTTAACTTTGTGAAATAATAATTTTCTGTTATATCATTACACTTTTAAACATTGGTTGGCTTTTAAGCTGTAGAGTCTGATCTCTGAGGGTTTATGTGTATAAAAACATGTGCAAATATGTTAGCATGGACAAAGCTGATCTACAAGACGTAGTGTAAGATGTATTGCATGGCTAACACAGGAGAAAATAGGATGCTAACCTTTTAGCATCTGCACGGCCATTTATCCAACCTGAGAGATTCGGGGTGCAGAGCCTTGTTTTTCATTATAATCCTAAACTCCTCATTAAACACGGCAGATTAAACGCTGGAGGATCCAGATCTGCTCGGGTCCGGCGCAGGCTGCTTTATGATTGGCTAATGATGTAAATCACCGTGGTTGCCCAGACAACAATTCTAATACAACTAGAGCTGAAACAATTAACTGTGAAATCAATTATTGAAATAATCATCAGCTAATTTAGTCATCAATTAATCGTTAACTGCAGTATAGAGACTGTAAACCTGCCTTTAGCTGACAGGCGACTCACTTAGAGCAGGAATTATACAAAGATTGTAAAAGTTATAAATGCATTTAAAAAAATGTTTTCATTTGTCAATCTGCTCTATAATGCAGAACTAGAAAAGTTTTAGTTTCACCTGGTTTAATGACATAAAGTTATCTTCTTTACGGAGCCTTTGGTTATCTGATTATTAATCAATTAATTGCAAAAAAAAAATATCAGCAGCAGCCCTAAACATAATCCCTCGACCGTGTGCCGAGTCAGGAGCATCGGTAGCGTTAGCATCTAATGACATATGAAGTTTTACCTGATTGATAACAAAGCTGAAAATATCTGTTTTTGTTAAACAAAGTAACTGTTAGATTGTGATATAAAGAGCTGGGTAGCGCTTTGGCTAGCTGTAGCTAACAGGTTAGCCTCTTTTAGCTTGGTCAGTTAGCCATATGGGCTATAAAAATAAAATGCATGTGCAAGATGTGTTTAAAAGTTGCTGTTCTCATAGCTCATACCAGCGTACTGTGTCCGACCGTCCGCCCTAACCTCTAAATCCCTCCATCACCATGTAGTGCGGGGGCTATATAGTGAACTTTATGGTGAACTCAGCTAACTGACCGTTCAGACAGATGATCACTGCTTTTTGCTCCGTTGGTCACGTAACTCCTCCGCGCGGTGCCTGCGCCATCTTTGTTATTAGTCGCCACTGTCAGGTAGCGTCAGCAGGCCGCTGTGACAGCAAATCCCATAATGCTTTGCAGGGAGAGCTCTCCACGCAAAGCATTATGGGATATATCTGCCTCTTCTGAGGTATTTCTTTTCTTCTTATTCACTTCATAGACACTTTTTCTCTTCCGACCCTCGGCCATTTTACCGTATATCACCACCTGATATATACCGCATATATCAGGCGTATATCACCACAGATCTACGCCTGAAAGAAAAAGATAGCTAACAGGGCGAGCACGTAAGACGGCCTTACGTAAACACATCACCAGAATGATTGACAGTTTGGAGGACCAATGATTGAGATGATCTACCCGGAAATAAAAGATCCTCCTTTATGCCTTCAATATGTAAAATGTATACATGTATTTTTTTTCTGAATTATATTAACATTTTACAATCTTAATATCATTCCTGCTCTAAGTGGGTCAGTCTGTCAGCTAAGGTTTTATAGCATCTAAACTCCGGTTAAGGATTTATAGATTACTCAATTAGTTCTCAATTAGTTCAATAATTCGATAATTTGAATAATTGTTTCAGCCCTAAATTGAATTCTCGTCTATCAGTAACAACTTCCACACTGAAGAGAGCTGTGTTGACTGGAATAAGATGTGTTTACTGATTGGAAGAATGTAGGATTTTTCAGTTTGACTCAGGGGGATATTGGGCTCATCCTGGTCAGCCGACGGTTTCTCCTCACATCTCTCATTTCATTCATTGTCAGGAGTCACTTCTAGCTCTTCATCTCATTTGTCTCACTTCTCTTCTCTCTCTCTCCCCCCCCCCCTCCATCGCATGCAGCGGGCCGCTCATGTAAGTATCCCATTTCATTCCCCAGCTTGTTTCTGTGTGAGCGATGCTGTCATGTTTCAGGCAGCCTCCACCAACACTGACGCTCGTCTGCCAGAGA